TTTGCACATGTTCCCGATAGAGGGGAAGGGCAAGGAACAGATGACGAACAAAAAATTTAAGAGTCGTCGAAAATACTTACAAAAGAATCTTCAAATAACTCTGCCTTCTTTTCTCAATTTACTTCGTGTATTTGAACATAGATCACGAAACGAATTTAGAAGAACCGTTTCATAATAACGTGCAAAACCTCCAGGTTTAATTTTAAATTGACAAATTATTGCCTCTAGAAAGAATAAAACAGGAAAAATTAATGCGCAAAAAATTTGTCGTCATCCATTTCCAAGTTTTGGAAATGTGATGACATATAGTGTTTTATACACTTGCAGCGCAGCTATTATTAAAACTTCCGTCTCAGACAGATACCTTTCAAAACATTCAATTTTTCTTTATCTAGTATTTCACGATTGCAATTCATTTAATGTTTGTTGTGCAATTTTTTGAATATTTGTTATCACCTCTGTACTTTTCCACCATGGTGATGCATCAATAACTAATGCTACATCATCTGCATACATATGGGTATGTTGTAATGATGGAATTTCTGTGGGCAGATCAGCATGGAACAGTAGAAACAAAACCGAACCTAAAACACTTCCTTGTGGTACCCCTCTGTCTACATCAAGTACATCGGACAGCAGATCGTTTATTTCTATTGGGCATGTTCTGTTGTCTAAATATTCAATAATGAATTGTAGCAATTCTTTTGGACATCTTAGTTTGTGCAATTTGGTCCAAAAATTGTTCATTCAATTTATAGAAGGCCCCCATAGCAGCAAAACAAACGAGAAAACATGAAGGTACGCCCTTAGGGCCTTCTATAAATTGAATGCTGCTCCATGAATAAGTGTCGTAGAGAGCCGGGAGGCGTCTCATTTTCTTCAGAAATGTTTGCTCTATATGACAGACGTATTCGCAAAGGATTTTTAGATTAAACTCGAGGACCTGGTTTTCTGAGATTTGGGTTTTCCAGAGATCCCTATTTCAGGAGTTTTGATGGAACGTCTGTGTACATCACCTAAGATCGGAAATTCTTTCAGCTGTTCAAATCTTTTTCCAAATTTATTCTAGCTATTATGGTCGACGAGAAAAATGAAAACTAAAGGTGGCAAACAATTTTTGGACCCACTGTGGGATTAAGTGGCGAAGTATTTAATACACAAAAGTCGCTGTCAAGCTTCGTTAAGGTTCCTTTTTAAAAACGGCAGGCATAAGTTCGGACCAGCATCCATTTGACCTCGATTCCACCCAAGAGTCGTGATGAGATGCTTTGACTTTGCCATTATTAGAGAGTTACTCTATCAAATAACAAGAAAATTTTTTTGGCATGTGTTAATCACGAATATAAACGAGCACATAAACTAAAAAAAGTGAATTTATCAAAACAGATTTGTTTCATATTTTTCAATTTTAATTAATTAAAGTTGACTTTTTGCTTTAGAAAAAAATTCATCAAAAAATAGCCTCATGGGCTAACCCATCATACATCGGGCCCCTCCCGAAAACCTAATAGACACACTGGAGAGGTAAAGTATTTTGGATTCTCACTCAGTTTGAATCGCCCTTCAAAACTAGATAGGTTTGAGCAAAAACAAAATGTCATCGGCGACTGACATGGTTGCTAGTCTCATGGACTCTCTCTTAATAGTAACAATGTTATTGTTCAAATAGAATAATTGAAAATTTTTTGTGTATTTTTGTTTTGTCTAAAATAGAAAGGCAAAAACTATTAGATAATCAACATTAATTAAATGGACAATTGTCTCTGTTTTCAATAAAAAAGAACGAAAAAGAAATATTATTTTATCGATTTTATGATGAAATAGATTGTTGAACGTTTATGTTAATCTACATTTTCTATGTAGGTGAACATTTCTTAATCGAGTAAGTATAAAATAAGTGA